GAAAGTGGAATGTGTGGCTGCACGTAGGCTGCTGTTTGCAAACTCAGACACAGAGAAAACACCAGGGCTGTCAGCAGAGCTGCAGTGCTGTGCTTACAGCAGTGTTCAGGACTGTGCTCAGTATCTGAAGCAGTCCTTTGGGCACAAAGATAGCCGAGTGCAAGTTAAGGCAAACATTCTTCCCTACTCCAGTTACTGCTGTACAAATGATGGATAAATGTCAAATCTAGGAAATGCATGTTTATGATTATACCACCGTTATAAAAACTGACTAAAAAGAAAATAAAAAATACAGTGACCTTCATACAAAATTGTATTCCAAGAAATAAAGCAGATGAGAAAACTGGGTTACAGATAGTATTAACAACTGGAAACGTTCTATTTGCAACAGACGCATAATGGATTACGTGTCTTATGGAAACGGAAATTATGGTCCTAATTCTGCAGCTTTTAATTACATGAATAGTATTCACACATGTAATTTCTCGCCAGACTGAGTAGTGATGCCTTATATGAGCAATGATTTGGAGCATTCCCTCTAGGACCCAGAATTCAAATGTGTATTTATAACTCAAGTTACACCTGCAATTAGCATATTAGATTAAGTTGCTAAGGGAGTATCATGTTTGGTGTCTCTGGTAGTCCTCAGTCACTTTATACAGTATAAATAGTTAAATATTTTCTTTTGTCTTTTCTCGTTGCCCTCCTTCTTGTTTTTTCTCGTCAAGGTTTATGCTATTTATGTATAGATTCTTCTGGATCATACAAAGAAATTGCCTTTGAATTTTCTTTCCCTAAGACAGTTATGGATGGCTGTAAGATCTGATGTTTAATGTTCTTACAAAAAAACCCCATGATTTTTAAAGCCATGTTTTTGTCTATGTAATTCCTTAGTGCTGTGCCACATCAGTGAGTTCAACTGTATATGTTCTTTGAACATTTGTGTGTGAGAGACAGACCTGAGTGAGTGTAGACTCCAGTGATAATTTAAAGCACAGTGGAAAAATTATCAAAATGACAGACCATATTTATATTATGATTGTGACTTCCTTTTCTGTACAGCTGAACTAGAACTAGCTTTGAGAGGATTTGTTTGTTTGATTGATTTGGTGGAGATGTTATTATTAAGTACATGATAAATAATGCCAGGCAATACAATGTAAATAAAACATACAACTCAAGCAAAGAAATCAAACAAACAAACCAAAGAACCCTCCCTGTGGAGGCTCAAAAAGTCAATTTCTGTCACTTTGGCAAAACCATAGTAGATATTGTGACAAATTACTGGAACTGGGCAATAAACATGGTTGCGTTTGCTAACTGGCCTCTGTGGGTGGCAGAATTTCAGAGATGCTGTGACTGAATTTATGTTTGCCTTCATGGCTTTCAGTCACATTGCTTCCAGCATGAATCCCTTGTGCTTGGCTGGCTGAGCAGATCCACAGCAGCCTTGACACTGGTTAAATGCTGTGTGACTTTTCACCTTTCCACAGGTTTCATCAGTGGTAGCTGATGAAGCTGCATTCCAGCAGCAAGCCATCAGGATGGAATCCAGCCTTGTGGGAGCGCCTTTCTCCAGGAAAAAAATTCCCTCGTAGTGTGAGACTGAGAGAGAAAAAAGGATTGACTTTTGTAAAATGGGTATCAATGTGTAGCAAATCAAAATAATTTTACTCTTACTCTGTACTGAATTAATCCAAGAATGGATGGTCAGTTCCACTCAGGGATATTTTATATTCTTTGTCTCATGGGACATAAGATAGTCCCTCTTTTTATAGAGAAGCTGTAGCTTAATGTTGGGGTGCTGTTGGATTTAACAAAAAGCAAACTTTGCTAACATATTTACTACATACACCCATCTCCTTCCCTTTTTTGTCCTTCCATTAACACATGCAGATAATTTTATGCGAAAGGCATTCTTTTCTAATCCCACTTTTATTGTACATTTAACCATAGCAAATGCTGCTCACGTGTAGACTGCTATTTTGTTCAGATCTCTTCCTGCATTAAAAGACTTATATAATCGTATTGAGAGAAAGCACTTAGAGATCTGTAATCCACTGGTCTTACTGGATGACTTTTTACATAATGAAAATCTGTGAAGGGTAAATATGTTGACTAGGAGTTCCATTAGCACTTAAATAGAAGGTATTTCTGGAAGGTGTAAACAACATGAACCTTCCAAGAGAAGGAAAAGCAAGTCCATAACCAGCCCTCTTGGACTGTAAACAATAAGCACGTGTTTAATTTTTAATCCAAAAGATAATTACATCAGTCATTTAGTCCAGTTTTAAATAATTGCATTACTGTAAAAAATACTGTCATATTTACGTGAAGAATTGCGAATCTAATTTTATTTTCATAGTGCAGAAGTTTGATGTTACATTGTTTCCCACATAAGGAGAATCACTTTAATTATGGTTCTGTCTTTCTTTGGTTAGTAAAGTGAAAAACAATGTAAAGAGGTTTTATGGTGATAGACTGGAAATCCTGGAATGAAATTACAATTTTTTGCATTGAACAGACTCAGTTCTGATGGTGTGATACAACTGTTGATCGTTGTTGCTATCAATACTGCAGGACCAAATTTCACGCTCTTAGGTTATCTGTATTTTTTGCTAAATTAAATGCCAGCTTTGCTGGCTGAAAGGGACAATTTGGATCCTAACACAAGGAGAATTTAATCTGTTGTTCTGGTCTAATACGTTCCCCGGTTTTCAATTGTCCAAGGCAGTGGTTCTGTACTTACCACTGAACAAGTAGTGCTGAAGGCAGTGTCATCTGTTAGCCTGAATGTTATTGTAGCTGTTTCCTAAGGCAGAGATTTCCTGACTTTTCACACTGCTGATTCTCTTGCACTATAAATTAAACTACATCACTACATTCAACTTTATGAGCTTGAGAAGGGTGTGTTTATGTTAAGAAAACTGTTAATGGGAGGGCTTAGTACTGTTTTATTACTGTGGCTGAAATAGGAACGTTAGTTTTTAAGAGCTTACTGACAAGCTGTACAAATATTCCAGATATTCATAGAAACAGAGAATAGTTTGGGTTGGAAGGGACCTTAAAGATCTCATTCCACCCCCTGCCATGGGTGAGGGACTCCTTCCACTAGATCAGGTTGCTCCAAGCCATGACCTAGTAACCACAGCAGTGTTGGATCAAGGGTTGGACGTGATGATCTCAGAGGTCTTTCCCAACCCGGTTGATTCTATGATTCTAAGCCCCGTCCAACCTGACCTTAAACACTTCCAGGGATGGGGCAGCCACAGCTTCTGTGGGCAACCTGTGCCAGGCCCTCATAGGGAAGAATTTTATCCTAATACCACATCTAACTTTGCTCTGTGTCACTGTGAAGCCGTTCCCCCTTGTCCTGTCACTCCAGGCCCTTGTCCATAGTGTGACTTCATCTTCCTTGCCCTTCAGGCACTGGAAAGCCGCAATTAGGTCACCCTGGGGCCTTCCCTTTTCCAGGCTGAACCAATCCCAATTCTCTCAGCTTTCCTCATAGCAGAGCTGCTCTATTCCTTTGATCCTGGGATCCCTCTGATCCTCTGGACTCAGTCCAACAGGTTTGGTTTGGTTTGAATTACTGCTGCAAGCCAACCAGTAAGTTATAAGTACTTTATTTTTAAATAAATAGTGACAGTAACAGGTTTGCAGTATTCAAAGTGTAGAAAATACCACCCATGCACAGGCAAAACCAGTAGAATTCAAGTCAGGAATAAGATTTCAGTATACAGCAAATTTAATGTGTGTATCCTGTGAATAAAGACAAAAGAACTGAAGTAGATCAACACTGAAATTAAGGAATAACCATCTTCTTTTGTACTACAATTCCCACTGATCAGCATGAGAATATGTGTTTTTTCATCATGCTCTTAAATATAGAGTATTTTGAAGTATCAGTTCCCATTTTTCACTCACAAAACAGCATTTCCAGTCTCCTTCCCGTTGCATTCTGGTAGGAGGAAAAAACTAAGACTGCAAATCTACATCTCTATATCTTAATTTATAAGAAGCCTCAGTAGTTTTGGGCAATGGTGGTTTCATTTGTTTTGGTTTTGTGCACTGTTGTGCCAGAACTCTGTCACATGGAACGAACATTTCTATCAAGGGTAGGAGATGAGTGACAGGAACATTATCAATGTAGGCAGTGCCAATTTTCTCTTAGAATTCTATTCAGATAGCTTAAATACAATATAGAACACACTAATGACGAATAAATCTGCATCTAGCTTTGTCTTATGATTTGAAAATTCATTTTCCGAGGCCTGTCTTTTAAGTACTAATTGTGTGCATATTCATAGTAAAGCAAGACATATTTAGAGGCCACTTGTATGAATTCGAGTCCTGTAGGAAAAAGTCAAAATTGAAAAAAAATGCAATGGACTGACAACTTCCAATTTACCAACTCACTGAAGTTTGCTTTAGGAGATGACATTGCCTATTCTTAAAAATTCTTCTGCACAACTAACCATGGATAAACTGTTTATCTGTGGCTAAGTGTGTAGGAGATACCGAGATAGAAGATAATGAATGCTGTCAGTGTTACCATTTATTCATCCACCAGAAACCACACGTGCATTACTTGGGCTTTGAAAACATGCGGTTAAATGATCTGATTTCACAAGGTACATGAGTTTTCGAGCAGCACAGAGTAGAGTCCAACTGCTTATCCACCTTCCTGTGAACTAAGTAAAAGGAGAGTGCAAAGAGTGGAAATACTCCAGATCCTTAGTGATTAGCGGTGGCAATCCTGCAGCTTTTGCTGCATTTTCCTTAAATATGTTTACTCAGCGTGATTGTGAAGGAGATCATCTCATGTAAATGAACACACAGGGATTACACCTTGTCTAGGCAGGCTGGAACTGTAGCACCAATACAGACTTGACTTTGTTAGAAAGCAGTCAGGGATCTCTATGAACATAGATTAACTACGTATGAAACATATCCTGTGGAATGAGTGAAACATGACTGGAATGTGGAGTTGTCTTGTAACACTGTGAATTCCCAAGAGAACGGAATTAGAATGGATCAGTGTGCAGAATTCACATTATCCTTCAACATTAGTATAGTCTACAGCTTTTAATTCAGGCCTCTGCTTACTATTTTTCTCTCATCTACAAGTGACCAGATTCAAATACACTTTTTTTCCTCAAATCCAGTTCTCCTAAGTTTTAAAGAATAAATTGTTTGCTGCAGTTTTTCAAAGTATGTTTAGTTGTTAACTCAAAAAGATTAGGTGTTTATATGAACATTGTCAGTTTTATTTAACAAGCATGAAGACTGTTGTCTAGTAACTTCACAGAACATGTCTGATTATTATTTTGATAATGTCCATAATAAGCAATGAAGGACGACTTATTAAACCCCCAATATTATGGGGCCTTTATATTTGGCCGTGGAGTGCCTCATACACCTATGGCACTGTTGTGCATGGACCGAGCATTCCTGAACGGACAGTGAGTGTTCACAGTAATAGAAGTTACCTTCATAAGTTATCTAATAAATGCCATAACACATAGTCCTTCTACAAAACATTATGAAGCTTCTCTACAAAGTTAGTGTCTGCCCCCCCAACTTTACATTTAAATGTTGACAATTTTATAGGGAAGCGCTGGAAAGTTTTATGCTATTGTTACATTTATCTCCCAAAATTGCAGTGATCAAATGGGATCAGTCCTAGAGGCTTTCTGTTTCCCAGATGATTAATCAGACATGAATGAGATTTGAAACTGAGACACATTTTTAGCTTTGTCTAGATTTCTGCAAAGAATTTGGGAGCTTGCAGAAATGCGACAGTATCCATACAAGCATCAGTCCCTGCCTGTCAACAGGAGAGGAGATCCTGTTGGAAAGGTGTGCTTTAACTCAAATCTGATTTTTGTTTGCTAAAATCTATTTTTAAATGTTACTGTATCTGCTGTGGGTACATTCATTGCTCCTGTTTTCATAGTTAATTAATTGTAAAGTGCAAACTGCTGCTACAGAAAGAAAAATTCGAACTACTGGCAAGAATCAGCCTTTCTGCAGGGAAAGATAAAATTGTGGTAAATTTGAATGAGATCCACGAAGCTTGCTAGTATTTTTCTGAATATGCAGCTCTCCCTTTTTTCTCTCTGGATTTAGAAAGCGATTAGTCATTCACATGTGCTGTGCCAATTCATGCAACTGGGTTCTGTACAATTCAGTCTAAATCAACAAACAGTACTTGGTATCAAACATTGCTTGTTCTGTTTTCTCCCCCCTCCCCAACCATTAACTTATCAAAATCAGAGGTTGGTCACATTCTTTTATTGGGGTTTTCATCCTTACCCCTTTCTTTCACTGAAACAATATTTTGTGTATTTGATGGGAAGAAAAAAAAGTATTCTATCCACTTGGTCAGACAAAACACCCGTGTTAATCTCCAAGTTTGTCTTACTCTCGAATACTGTAAACAGTGACCAGCAGCAAACACCAGAGCCTAGTGAAACAACAAAAAATACAGGCTTCTGAGAACAGTGATCTATTAATAGCAGACAAATCCCTGTTACAGCCAGTAGTGATAATACCCTGATACTTCAGTTAACTGTTACAAGTCCAGCAAATGAAGACATCCTACTCTGCAGGCTGATTTGCATCCCTTTTCTTCAAAAAGCATGAAGAAGCAAATCGTGCATCTTAGGATATTGAGAGGTGCAAAGTTCTGCCTTGTTCTTTCCAGTGCTCCGTTTAAATTCTCACCTCATCCAAGTGACACATTTTGAAACTAAAGGTGAGGCATGAAACATTCCAAGCAGACCTGGAGGGGGTCGCTCCCGTCAGAGCTTGCACCACCCTAAGACAGTTTAACCACACACACTGCCAGGACAATGGCGATAATGAGCACAGCAGAGAAAACAATCCCAGCTAGAACCTTGCTGATATCGCAGAAGGATTTATTTTCCTCCACAGAGATCATGCCAATAGAAGAAGCGCCTACGCTGATGGTGGATTTTAGTTCAGCCCCTGGGTCTTGCTTAGCCTCCACTGTCCACTGGGGGACATTGACCTTCATTTCCATCTCGTACATCATCTCTCCTACCTGGTTGATTTCGTTCTCGAGGTCTTTCAAATCCATCACGTCTATGTTGCGCTCGGCCTCGTATTTCATGTTCTGGACGCTCATGGCTCTGGCGGCCACGCCAGAGGTTCCCCCGCTCATTCCCGTCTGGATGAGGTGCTTTTTGGGGACGTTTAGCGGGAACTCGTGGCCCAGCTCCAGGGCTCTCCTCATGTCGATCTCCAGGATCTCTAGGCACGTGGAGAAAATCACCCATAGCCTCTCGAACTCGGCTTTATCTTCCTTACTCACGGTTTTGTCCTTCAGGACCGTGGTCAGCTTGTTCCTGTTGGCCACCGCCAGCTCCTGGGCTTTCTGCCGGGTTTTCTTGAGCTCCTCCCGCAGGTTCTGGGAGTCCGAGGTGCCGCCGATGGTCAGCACCATGTGCCGGTAGCAGGCGGTCACCTTGTTGAGCGCGTCCAGCAGCGCCTTGCACTCCTCCTTCACCATGGTCGCGGCGCGCCCGGGGCCGCCCCCGCCCGGCTGCCGCCCCGACTACCCTACCCTGTGCCGGGCCGCGGGCGCTGCCCGAGCCGGGCGCTACCAGCGCACATGGCAAGCGGTGCTTTCGGGCAGTTCCTGCATCCAGCGCCCTCTCCCCGGGCCAGTCAGGCGGTGGCGGGAGCGCGGTCGGGCCGCGGGGAGCCCCGCCAGGCGGGCGGCATCGCCTCCGCCGCCCGCAGCGCCCCCGGGGCGGCGCGTCCCGCACCGCGCTGGAGCGGGGCGCTGCTCTCTGAAAAGTGCCAGGCGCGCGGGAGGGAAGGAAGAAAAAAAAGATGTCTAAAAAATAAAAACAGCGGAGGCTAAAGCTCCGGGGAGCGACAGCCGAGCAGCTGACAGTCCCCGCCGCCGACACTTAACCAGCCCCAGCTGGGCGCCCCGCGGTCACATGGCGGGGAGCGCCCGGCCCGGCCCTATAAGCCCTCGCAGGCTCCGCCTCCGCAGGCAGCGACCCCGCGGCGTTCCCGGCTCCTCGCTCGTTCCCTCCCGCCGCCGCCCGGCCATTGGTTTCGTGCGGCCGCGCCGGGCCCGCCCTGGACCCCGGTAGGGCTCTGCCGGGGCGGCGAGGGGAGGCGGGCGCGGGGGCAGCGCGGCTGGGGCGGAGGGAGGCGGCGGTGCCGCGGTGAGCAGCGTTCCTGCCCGGGGCTGCCGCGCAGCGACCGCGGGGCTGCGGGACCCGCTCTGGGGACCCGCCCGCCGGGCTGGGACCATCGAGGCGCTCCTGGCCCGCCGTGCTGCGCTGCGGGAGCCGCTCGGCCCCGGCCTGGGCAGCGCGGCGGGCGGGGCGCTGCCGGCCCGGCCTTTGCCCGGAGCGCCGGCGGGGTCGGCCGTGCGGGCGGACACACGCGTGTCCCTGGTCAGTGTCCCCCGCTCCCGCGGCGGGGTCGGACACGGCCGTGTTAACCCCCGAGCCCGGCTGTGTGCGCTGTGCAGGGCAGGCCGGTCCCGCCGGGCCCCCCCGTGTCCTGCGGGCGCTCCGGGGCCCGGCCGGGGACGGAGCCTCCACCTGTGAGCGGGGCAGGGGAAGGGCCGGTGTGTGACCCGGGGCGCCCGCGCTTGGCTCAAGCGAGGCACATCAGAGAGCGCAGGAAACACAGCTGTTGTCGGCAGCAGAAGTGATGCTCCGGCCGCTGCCCTTGGCAGCGCTGCGGTGCCGCTCGGGGAGCGGCGATGGGCGCTAGGCCGTGCCAGTGTGTGCGTCTGCGGGAGTACAGTTGGTGGTGTTGAGTGCCACTTGGTGAACTAAACTGTGTTGTCTCCAGCACGCGGTGTGCCTGCCGGAGTGACTTCTGGAGAGCTTGCGACTAAACATACCTTAGCGTTTGTTGGTAGCACAGTGGTTTTCTGATGCTTGCCAAAGCTGTGAAGCCATACTCCTGCGAGAGGGGAGCTTGACCCTTTCCCTTATCACTAGCCCTGCAGTGCAGTGTGTGTTATGAGCAAGATAATTTGCTGTGAGGAGCAGAGTCCAGGAAGACTGACTTCCTGCTGCTGAACAGCACCTGAAGAGTCTTGTCTAGACTACATTCGTCCTTCTCTGTCTTGGTAAATTGGATTCCACTGACTGTGTTTTATTTTACTTTTTTAATTCACATTTTGTCCTGCTTTAATTTTGGCCCTAGTTCAAACCCCCGTGTAGCTTCTGCTGCAGGTTGTTACCTGTGAAAGAAACCACCTTATAACTTCTGTAGACTGCCAAATTGTTACTGACTAAACTGAGTAGCACCCTACCAATTTGTGTGTTGGTAGCCTTGAAGAAACAAATCAGTCATGCCTGTTTCCTTGTAGGCATAAAGAAACACGGGATGATTTTGACCTGATTGTAAGTGAAGTCTTATAATTGCTTAATCATTGTCAGGTGGAAAAAGGATTAGCTCTGGGTTTGAATCTGGGGTCCTGTGTGGCATAAGTGTTAAGCTTATTGCTGACTAAACTGTGCATATTTTTGTGTGTCTGTAGTAGCTGTGTTTAAAGTTTGCCACATGGCACTGAAGTGGCACGTGAGAATCCTGGAGCTGCTTCTCTGAAAGCTTGTCTGGAAAGAGGAGGGAGGGAGGGAGTGTTGGTTCAGAAACATGTGACTACTTTAACTTGAAGGTAGTAGAAGTTATGATATGTATCAGGTGCAGGTAAGGTAATGCTTAAGTACATCTTTAGGTGTGTCATGAGGAAGGAGTCATTATATTAGTTCTAAATTAAGTTCAGCTGCATGCAGTTATAGGATTTGCTTGGATTGTGCAAAACCTTAAAATTCAGTTGTAGTTTGTTAGGTGTGATATTCTGAAAATCCAGATCTTGATACTGTTATCAAACAAGATGCTGACTAGCCAAAATACTGTCCTGAGAAAACTTTTAGAACGGAGTGTAAAAATCGTTAGAACTGACTTGAGAAGCAGCATAATGAGTAGGAGGAGAAATGTATTTCCTTGTTCTGTGCCAAGGCTTTCTTGCAATAGATGTAAATGAACATATTCTTCATATGAAGTACCCATAGAAATATCTGCAAAATATTCTGTGGTGCTTCTTGATGCATCACTAATTAAATGTTACATCCTCATTTCAGTAGAGTAGAAATTTAGGTAAATGCAAGTTTATTTTGTTTAAATGGTTGGTAAGTCTTGTCTGAGGGACTTGCTTTTCAAATAAGCTCATAGTTCTTAGCTTTGTCTGTAGACTGCTGTGACCTGGGAAAGCTTGAAGTCACAATGACACGAAGAAGGAAAATAAGGGTGAAATACAGTGAAAATAAAATGTAACATCAACCCTCTCCCTCATATCTGATAAACTATGCACTTCCTTAAATAACTCTTCTCTGATTTGCTTTTGGCTGAGCATTTTGCTGGTTAAGTGGCTTGAGACTTCATCCTTAGCAAGAATCTTAATTTACATCATGGAAGAATGTTAAGACTGGTATCTCTATCATGATGTTTACTGTCAGGAAGCTCTTAATTAGCTCAGGCTGGTTATGGTGCATTGTGTAGCATCAAAACACTAGTGGTGGTAGAAGTAATTTATTTTGCTAGTTAGAACTTACCTGCTAAATTGTTTTCCAACCTTCCTTCCCCTTGCTCTGCTGCCTAAAGGAGGAATCTAGTGTAATTCTACAGTGTATTTCATAATTAGTTTTTCTTGTAATTGTCTATGTTTAAGTTTCTTGCAGTGATGAGGTAAGACTTAGTGCTGGCCTGCAAGGACTTGGTTTTCCTATTGAGATACGCAGGGAAAGAATTAAATTCCTGCCCAGTTGTCTGTCTAAGGACCACTGGAACTGAGGGGAATGGCTGGGGGGTTGCTGGCTGCAGTTCCTTTGTGTTTCTGTGCGTGGCCTGTGCTGGCTCTGGCCCTGCAGACTTGGTGTCTTCACAGACTTGTCCCTAGTTTTAAGAGTTGACAGCAGCCTGCTATCAGTGAGTGGTGGTGGTTTGTAACTAGGCAAGAAATTACTTTGTGACCTGTACATAGTCTGGGGAACTATACCACTGTTTTCCTTCTGTAACTAAAGAATGAAAATATTTGGCTTAATTAAATCTCTGTTTATATATGCATTTCAACTCTGTTTTTCTTCCCCCTCCAAAGAAGTAACAGTGTTGACACCTCTCTGAACCTGAGGAGGTGGCCTTACATACAACTTGCTAATATTTGGGGAAATCGTCTTTGTTTGAGAAGCTGTTTTGGGAACTTTGTGTTTTCTGTTAATGTTCTTCCTCTAAATGTTCATTGTAACTGTTTGTGGTTCACTGACCACCACTTGCACTTTGGTCTAGTGCTTGCTTGGGAGTAGCTCAGGCTTCCTCACCTGAGAATTAAATGCAACTTCAATACTGGTAAGCCAAGAAAGTTCTTCGGCAGCTGCTCTAGTGGATTTCTAAACCTGCAAGAATTGAGAATTGGGAATCTAGTCTCCATTCTGTTGTGAAGAGGAGAATGCAGCTTGTTCCTAATACTTGGCTAATGAAAAGTAAGATGATCTCAGATATATGGGAGTGACTGGATAGAAGTGGGAGGTTTGCCTTTTGAAGGATGATCCACATATTGCAATGTCCTTCCCCTGGGGGAAAGGAACAGGTGACTGTGGAAAGTCAAGCCAGTATTTTCTCTGCCCTCAAGTCTGGGGCAAGTAAGAATTTGTCCAGATCAAACTATGGTGCAAATAAATACACTGTTAAAATACAAAGGGTGAACTTTCTTATTTTTCATGGGTGAGCTCAGTTTTCAGGTTTCCAAGGCTGATGTTCTGAGGTCATAGAACTTAGTTTTCCTGTGAGCCTTGAGCTGACTGATGCAAATTCACCGCACTCTAATTTGATAGTTGAGAGGTGTTATTCTGACATACTTCAGTTTCACAGAAACCAATAGAAGCTGAACCTGAATCTAAAGGGGATAGGAATGGCTTGTTTCCTTCTTTGCTCCCTTGTGGTGAACAAGATGTGCTGGAATGTATCTCAGATGATTTTCATAGGATGCTCAGTGTTCATCCTTTAGGAGAGGGAGTAAGGTTTCTGAAGTGCTCAAAAATATTTTTTTTCCTTGTTTTACTTGTTTTTGTTTTTATGTGAATGCTGATTTAGGGCTCAAGTTCAGATTGTAACCTTTTCCCAGAAGCAGAGTAAAGGAGGAGTAATAGTGCTGGTAAATGGCTAAAGAAATAACTAGGATTGTATCTGGACTATTTAAAATTCACTGCCTGCTTGCTTAGTGCTTTAAGATCTGCTTAGCTTTGGTTGTTCTGTGAACAAGGGGTGCTTTTGAAGTGTGTGGGGGAAGCACTTTGGTTAAAAAAAGATTTTAACTTACAGCTGGGGAACTACTGCTTCCTCTTTTTTCTGTGGGGCTCTGCAGTTTGCTAGCATGACAAAAACTGTTAGAAATGTCTGCTACTCTGAGATAAGTCTTCTAGTTTAATAATAAGGTGCTGCTTGTTCTGATTTGTTCGTTGTTTTGAGCATTTCAAGAAATGATATTCTAGATAGTGCTTTACTAAGCCTTGGTTGTTCCTGTTGTAGTTTTCAGGATAAGATGAAATTGATACTGTCATGTGAAACTTTGGTATTGCCATGCAAGTAAAATTGAGTGAATTGATGCTTCTTGAATGTGCCATGCTAATGGACCTGGTGCTAAAGGTTTTGGAGAACATGGCATTCTGCTTCTTTGAAGTTGAGTTTGTGTGCAGAGAGGCTCTGAGGTACTTGATGTTCACATCCCAGTGTAATATCCTGACTTGCTCTCCTGGAGATGTTTCAGGTTGTCGAACTAGGCTGATACTTCTTGCTGACTTTGGTAGCGGTTTGATGTTGTTCTGCTGTAGTAATATTAAAGTGCCTTGGTGAAAACAAAATATTATGCTGTTCAGCACTGAAGTGTTTGTATACACAATCTCTAGCTCTGCTGTGAAGGGCATTTTCTCCAGCATGTTTTGTTAAGTCTTTAATAGGGGTATAGCAGGATGTTCAGAAGATGATGTGCCTAAAACTTGAGTAAATAGTTGTATAACTTGAACGTGGACTGCCAAGTAACAATGCCAATAAAATGACATTATCTACTTTAGTGACTGTTTGTCTAAATTTCAAAATGCTTCTTAAAAAGAACTGAAACCTTCAAGGTCTGGAAAAGGTACCTCACTTGACCGTCTCTAAAGGAAAACACCATTAATGACAAAATGAACTCAGGGTTAATTCCTCTTCACTGGTTTTAGTACCAAAGGCTTCATTTCTGGTATTTTGAAGAAAACAGTGACAAGCTTAGATTTCATGTTTTTCCCTTGAGCTATGCCTTGTACCGTAGTTCTGTCATTATAATTATCACTCTGCTTTTGATCCAGAAAGGATTTGGCTCTTTTAAGATTATGATTGTGGGTTTTTTAAGCTGTAACATAATGCTTATTAGATTGTCTGATCCAGACAGCTTCTGTTCTTCCAGCAATTTGAGCTATTTCTGTGTTTACAGGCATGAAGCCACACACTTAAATGATTCCATTTAAACCTTTTACATAACATTAGTACTTGAGCATTTCTTTATAGCTCAGCATGATAGAACTTAGTAACGTAATAGTGAATATAGTTTGACAGTTTTTAGTGAGCTTTCTGTTAAGCATTAAACAGTTCTAGTAATGTGTATAAGGCTTTGTATATTTTCTGCTTTCTCAGTGTTAGTAAATCTAAAGTTGTCCAAGGTGTAACTGGGAAGAGCAGGTCTCTGTCACCCCCAAGTTAAAGTAGGTTGAAGTTGGATGTTTTATTTTGCCAACAAACCCTCACTGGAGGATTCTAATGCATTCCTATAATTATAGCAATGCATTAGCCAGTATTTTCAGATGCATTTAACTTCTGAGGTGGAAAAAAATTGACTTAATCTCAAAAATGCCTGAGCTTTGGGGAAGGTTTAATGTATTCTCTTGCATCTGTAGACTAAATGCCTTTGGTTTTTTTAATTATGTACCTTGTAAATGGTTTCTACATCCACACTTTTGTCTCTCTGAAGAATGCTGTGGGTGGGTGATGGAGGTCCAAGTGAATACAGTAAACTGTTTTAAGTAATAAGTATTCTACCTGTTCTTCATATTTGCATTTTAATCAAATATGGTAGGTGTCATATACATAGCCATAAATTCGTGTCAATAAAAGAATAAAACAAACAGATTGTAAAACTTAATTACACCCCCATAAAAAAATTGGAGATATTTGTGCAGTGCAGTTTTACTCTGCACTCTCATGCTTGGTTGCCTTCTTGTGTCAATGTGCTTTTTTTCACCCCAGCACAGTTCATGGTTTAATACTTTCTCCATCACTGTCTTGGGAGAGCATAGCAACCTCATCTTCTGCTGCTTGACCAGATACATGAATTCACCAAACAAAAGGCAGATGAAACTAACTTAGTGGGCCAACTCCATTAATGAAAGCTTGATTTAGAAAGTGCCTGGAGAGACCATGTAATCCAGCCTCCTGGCTTCACTGTGTCCATTATCACCCCTGGGAGAGGTTTGTCTAACACGTTCTTAGAGATTTACTATGTGAGACTTGATACCTTTGCAAGCAATCTAAACCATGTGCTTATCTTCTCTTTTGAAAGGTGTTTCTGATCTGTAATCTGTAATCTGAGCCTGTTTTCTTCAGTTAAGACCTATTTCTGAGATAGATGTGGAAAAAATGTCCTTCACTGAAAGTTTGATACACCTGGGGGAAAAAAATTCTTAGCTGGTGTTTCGTACAGTTTATTCAGCATAAACATCACTGCCTTTCATGGACTGGATTCTGCTTACAGGGCCCTCTTGCCTTTCTCACTTCAGATTCTTCTCCAGTCAATTCATCTCTTGTGATGAGGCCATCAGAGCATCCAGAAAAAGCATGTGTGGTACTCCCAAATAAGTCTTGCTGTGGCAAATTATTTTGCAGACTGTGCACATGTGAACGTACAGCTCTGCTTGTTCCCTGACTTATATGCACTAAACTGTATTTACTTATATATATTAAATTGTCTGAGTCATGTTTGGACTGTAAGCTACAGTCATTTAAGATCTTACTTGGAATTGTGCCCTATCCAGATGTTCAGCAGGCGGGTGGTTTTTTGTAGCTAACTAGTTGTGCTTATACAGGTCAGTGATGACACACCTGTGTTCCTGCAGCAGACCTGCCCCTGAGCTTGTTGCCTTTTCCCCTTCCCCTGCCACTGGCTGAGGGAGGATCCCACAACTTGAACTTGGATTGCAGCTGCCTGCCAAGAAATGTTTCTAGTCATCAGTAGCAGTGGAATTACTGGTGGTAATCCTGTTTACCCAGACACTGTGGTGGGACAGATCGTGGAATGACTGATGTTAGAAGGGACCTGAGAGATAATCTCGCTCTGCTCTCCTGCCATGGGCAGGGACACCTTCCACTAGACCAGGTTGCTCCAAGCCCTGTCCTGTGTTTGGCTCTCTAAGGCAGCTCTTCTTGTGCCTAATAGGAGGAGCAGAGCCCAGCTCAGTTAACAGGCTGTAGA